ATGGATCAAGAGATGACAAGGTATGTTGTGGACTGGGAAGTGCCGAAGAGGTTGGATGCTTTAAGTCATTTTAGATACGGCAAGACAACTCAGGAGGAGTAGAAAGTTGCCACAACCTAGGAGGGCAGCATACAAGTCACAATATGGGTTCCAGTGAAGCCGATTAAGTCATTAGTAAAAGCCGAAGTCAATGGGGTTACTAGTGTGAAGATACTGAAACCTTAAGCTCAAGGACATAGTTTTCCAATAAAAAGATCGACCTATCATATAACTATTGTAATGAAAGATATATCTTTAGATGATGAATATGTACAGATGTATTCCCACTTAAGTCCACTGTCCTCTTCCTTCTTCCAGCCTGCCTTATCCAGTTCGCTCTCTTCTTTAACCTCGGGAAGTATTTCTTATATTATACTTCCGCAGAAGACAAGCTTACAAACCCAACTCTACTGCCAAATTCCTCTCTTTTTCACCCCTTTGCCTCACCGCAACGACAATATTGTGAAAAGGATTATTTAGGCCCATCTTTACCCAAACAAAGAAACGACCATTACTACATTGATCCACCCTTTTTATAAGTAGAGCATGACAGTGAAAGAAGAAGGATACAGGGTGGCATTTAGAGCCTAGGAGCTGCAACTCTAAGCTTGAGAACACTCTGAAAGATAAATTAACGAAAAACAAGGTAAATGAACTGCGACAATCCTCTTGCAAAGCAACAAGCTCAAACAGCACTTGATCTTTAGAGAAAAAATCTTACCTTTAAATTTAAATTTTTGTTTCTCAAAACAACATGCCATTTTAGATATTTGATATTTGTAAAAGCACTACACTACTCAATATTAGGAGATCAATCAATAAATTAAACAAACACATTTTCTCATTGTTGTAAATTTAGAGATAAAAATTCCATTTAGTGCATTCCAATTGAATTCCTAGGTCCAAAGTAACACGAAGATTAAGAACAACCGAAGGAGAAATATAAAACGAACCATAGTGCAATCGGCAAAGAATCCAAAATCCTAATGCTCCTCCAACAGAAAAGATCCCAGCTGTTTGTCTCATTAGTCTTGTGCAGGGTTTTGCATCTGATCTCATTAACTCTCCATCCGAATACCCAAGCATACGCCTCAAAGCCATCACCCCAGAAACCCTGGATTACAGTGAAACTTTAGTTTAATAATAATGAATTTAGTCAAATAATAGCTTCGCTTAGGCATTTTCACAAACAGGTTGACGGCAGTATGTAAAACTTACTCAAAAATCACCAAATGCACAATTGAATCGCTATTGCAGCACAGGGTTTCTCAAAAAAAAAAAATAGTTATCCTTTTCAATTACACCACTACGTCCCGTGAACCGGAATAATCCTCTGCTTCCAAATTATTTATTTTTTTCTGAAATACTTTAGAAGAGTAGAAGGTTAAATAGGGAGAGAAGCAGCGTCAATTCAATTTCCATAATTACCCATTCTGACTGTGCTCTTGTTTCAATTTGTTTGTTCGATTTAAAAGAGATAGCAATTTTTTAACTTTTTCTACATGATATGTTTTACATCATAGTATTAAAAAGTATTTTAATATATTTGACATATTTTTTAATTTAAATACTATTTCAACATAAAATAAGATAAATAAATTAGAATGGAGAGAATAGTAATTAGGACAAAATTATCCCTATATTGAACTTTTCTCATATGGACATTTGATTCTTCGATTTGGAAACGAATTTGATTTTATTTTTTTAAAATAAATTTGATTTGATTCGATATTTCTAACATGATTTTTTCTATGCAAATGAAAAATAAAAGGAAGATCAAATCATCAAAGTATAAAGATATTTTTATTTTAAAAAAAAAAAACTTAAAAACATTTAGTAGCAGTCAGCAAGGCAGCACTAATGTAAAATAAATAAAAAATGTCATTAGTGTTTATTTTGGTACAAAATTGTTCTTTCGAGTGATTATATTTTATTAACATTTTTTAATTTAATACAAAATTCTTTCTTAAGCATGATCCAACTATTTTTATCAATGATTATAAATATTTATTATAAAAATTATGATTACATGATTAAATAAAATATGACAAGTAATAAATAGTACTTAATATTTCAAATAAAAATAATACATAAATAGGACTGTTGATTCATCATTATCTTTATTCACCGTAAATCTCTCTCCTCTATTTTCGCCTTAAACAGGCGCCACCAGTTCCCCAACCATCCATCAACGTATACATCACATCTCGTTCTGATATATAAGATACATTCTGATACATCACGTAAAGTAGGGTTTTGTGCAAATGTTTCAGTTTTCACACTATGGTGATGATGAACTCTTCCTCATTTCTCAAACAGTTGAAGATATTCCAGAAAATTCAGTAGATCTAACGTTGCAATTGCCCGATCATCTTCTTCATTCGATATTTTCCTACCTTAGTTTTCATGACCTACTTAATATCCGCCTTGTTTCGAAAAATTGGCATCGTAACATTTCATCATACTTGGCTTTCCACTTTAATCAATCCCTTTTTCATGAACAAAATCCTATATATTATACCAGCGATTTCCGAAAATCAGTCCTTTCTTTTCTCTGTGCTTTTAAAAATAAGTTGTTCAATGCTGAACAAAGAGTATTGTGCATTCTATTTTTCAATGATATGAATATCCGCGATACAATGAAAACGATTTCCATGAAGTATATTTGATAATTGAGATGAGATATGTTCAAAATTGTTATTACTGTTTGCCTTATATTTTTCAGTCGAAATGTCTTACTATTCTTCATTTAACTGATTGTGAACTTGATAAGGATGTATTATGTGGTGAAGGAATAATTTCATCTTTGCAAAAGTTGAAATTGGAACGCGTCATATTATGTGAAGAAATACTATCCAAGTTTATTAGTAAGTGCCCTAATATTAGAGAATTGAGTTTGGTGAATAGTTGGGGGATAAGTTTTATCGTGTTAACTAAGTTAGAAGTTTTATGTGAACGTAGGTGATTTTAATTCTTTTACCAACATACAAGTTATTGTCCCGAGTTTACAAGTTCTCCATTTCGTTTCACGGAGTTGTGAAAGTAAAAATGTTGCTTTTAACATGGATATTCATGCTTGTAAAATGTTACGGGAATTTCACTTGGATTGTTGGAAATTTCCTCATGGTCTTGACCCTGAAAACTTTTGTTCAGATTTTCCTCGTCTTGAAACTTTGTTACTTGGGCCTTGTCAGACAGAGAAGCCTATCAGAATTTTGAGTTCATCGCTCAGAAAATGGACCTTATCCTTCCCACAGGTATATGAATGTGATATAGTTTCGTCTCCTAATTTATCTTCTTTCCAAATCCAATATAAGGGTACAACATTTGAAATAATTTAATCTTGAACAGGAAGTAATCAAGAAGTTGTATGGCAGAGGGGAATCGCACTTGTTGCTCAAGTACTCATGACAAGTGTTGGCGCCATTTCTTAAAACATTTTGAGGTTAAAGAAGAAGAAGGAAAAATAGGGCAGTCGGTCACATTAAGCTCCTCCCCTTCCCATCCGTGGAAGGTTAAAATAGTTGCTAATGGAAAGAAGTACAAGTTGACAAAGCTCATTTTCATATTTACTTGGCAATTCAATAGTTAGTTTAGGCCACTGCTTTTTAGTTGGATGAATTTTGGTCCGCACTAGGCACGGCTCGAGAGCTGTAATAATTATATTCATATGATCGTTTTGATTGCCCTCTTCTCTTCAATTAGTAGTAATAGTACTAATATATATATGACAACTTATCTTGGAAAACTTACTGGAGGTTCCATGTAACTTACTAGTGGGTGACAATGGGAAGAACTTCACAAGCCTGCTGAGACCCAGTCCATGTAAGGTAACAATGCCAATCAAGATATTAACTGGACTGGAGATGGCATCTTCTGCATTGCATCCTTTGTTCCCTGAAACACCAAATAAGTTCATAAAAGCTGTCTTAATCTCACAAGACGGCAACTATTTATAACCTCTGGTAGAACTATCATCACACTATTCTTAATCTAAATTCCTTCTCCAGTGACAGTAATAAAAGTTAAGAAGATCAGAGGAAGAACGCGTAATACCATCATTACTAGTACAACTATTAGCACCAGCAGGAGGCACAAAAGATCTTATCATCAATGTGCTTAAAAGGCAGAAGCAAAGAATTATTTTGTTATAAGTTGAAGGCCGAGGCAAAGCATAATTCTTTATTTCTCATCTGGTAAGTCAAATGATGCCATCCTACTTCGATTGAACAAGCAATATGAAAGTAGTGTCCGGGTCAACTTTCGCGCCCTTCGACTAATTCCACGGGATACTTACCACCTCCTACCAACAACATGTACTAGGTAACTATGTCCACCAAGGCGATGGGAAGAATTTTTGTCTTCGCTGGGATTTGAACATGAGACCTCAGTATGCATCCTACCTTATCCGAGAATTTTAACAAGAGAATATAAGCCAAGGCACATGCTAGTCAGTTTTAAAAGACAGAAGTAAATTAAATTAGAGTGGGTGTAAATACATGAAGGAGTATACTACCGCAAATCTTTGTTCAACAAAAAGAAATGAGTCCATATTATGAACTAGATAGCATCAACTACGGAGGACTGTTGAAAGAGGCTCCACAAAACTAAACAAACAATTTCTACCCTTAGGAGGGGAGGTTGATGGGATTGTTCCTGCTCTATTCCATCAAAATTGCAGCGGAATCCCAACTTCTGAATTCCAAATAGTAACCAATACTGGCCATTTCTACACCAGTTTGCTCACTTGAAGCAACACAATCAGACAAACTGAGAGCCTCCAATGCTACTTGCATATATTATATGGTGACCACAGAGGCAAGGCATTGTCACCAGTGCCTCCAAAGCCGAATAAGATGCATGTGATTTATCATCTTACTTCCTATCAATGACTGCACAAACATTGGCCTGTCAATCCGCATGTACAACATCTTCTTGCCCTCGTCTAATGCTATAGCAGATAATAAAAGACATATGTTCCCATTAGAACAATGACACTGATATTGAGAGGGGGAAAATAGTACCAGTATTTTATGTTTGACCACCAAACATCATACATTAAGAAATCTATTTCCAGCAAAAATCCTAAAGCATATTCATGACCTTAGAAGGCTAGAAAGGTTTAACCACAACTTAGTTTTTAACAATTAACAACAATAGCTAGCACATCCGTAGTTGAGCTACAACAAAAAATATTAAAGCAGTAAAGCTCACGCAATTACTAATTAATGGCAAATCGGTTTCAGTTCGTCGAGGTAGTAGCAGGTGGACGTCTCAATCTTTGTAGATGATCGATCCACTGATCCTCCGGAACTTGGCTGGTCCAATCAGGAGCCACTCCACCAAAAGAAATCCTACGCATGGCTTCCATTACTCTCGTTGCACTCTCCGTCGTCAATGGAGTGTTGCGACGGCTCTCATCCTCTCTGAACGCTCTCCGTACAGCAGTATCAGACGCCGCTCTTATTCTCTCCTCCTCTTCTTCAACCTCACTCTTATGTTCACCATCCTCGTCACTTAGATCCAGTGATGATATCTCGTTTTCTACGCAATTCGCATAGCCATTAGGGAGGCGATGAAAATAACTAGATTCGTCGCACTCTTCATCATCGGAGTTCTGAACATGATTTGGAATCTGATCGGAGATCTGCAAATCATCGTCATCAGCGGTGGAAGAGATTGGCTCGTAATATTCCAGCGAATCGTCCGGGTTCGAGTCGGAATCACTGCCGGCGGCGTTCTCTGCAAAATAAAAGCACATCGGAGAACGGATTGATTGAGATACATAACCCGTAGAGGCGAAGAAGGGGAATTTACCATTTACTAACCTTGAATGAAATCCGGTGTGGAATTCAACTGAGCGTTCATTTCCTTTGGAGAAGTTACAGAATTTTGAGGCGAATATTGCAGAACTGATCGAGGTAATAAAAAGGAGTGAATATTCAATCGAAATGATATTTTATCAGATTATAACTTAGGACAATTTTTATTTTTATTTTTATGACAAATATGTTATATGCTTTATTCTATAAGAAAATGATCAAAATGGTCTTTAACGGATGGGAGTGTATTAATTTGGTCCTCCGTGTATATTCTCTTGTAACAAAATCTGATAACATTTCCAGCATCAATGACGGATTAATCGAACCCCAATACAAATAATAGGAAAAACGCATACATTTGTTTCTCAACAAATTACAAAATGATTGACACTTAACTTCGTCGCAATTGAATTAGTAATTGTTACATTGACAACAAGTCTCTTTAAAAGCATCATTTGCATAATAGAACACAAAGACATTGATAAACAATGTCAAAGAAAAGCCACTCTCAGCAATGTAGAGTTGCTACAGATCTCTAAATACAACATTCGATTAAAACTATAATGAATAGAGGATCATCATTATCACATTCTCCCTCGTTGTACATTGTAACAGGGCACAAATGATGAAGGGTACAGAGCTTTTGCCCAATCTATAAGTCCAATAACATGACTATAATATTTTACTACTAATATTCATCATTGCTATAGGAATAAAATAACATCAGCTGAAGAAAATAGGGTAAGAAACCCAACAATATACAAAAAGAATTAATGATAATGTCAAGAACTTCACAAGCCTGCTGAGACCAGTCCATGTAAGGTAACAATACCAATCAACACGTTATCTTGATCAATAACTGGCAAGAACTGGACTGGAGATGGTGGAGATTCCATCTTCTGCATTGCATCAGCTGCCATAGCATCTGGACCAATTGTCCTTGGTTTCCTGAAACACAAAGTAAGTGTATAGAAATGTTTTAATCTCGGAGGGTAACTATTCATAACATCTGGAATAAGTGTCATTAGATTACTCTTCATCCAATAAAAACTATGTTAATGTGTGAGTGTATATACATTGCCATCTTACTTTTTCAATATAGACCCATATCAAAGTTGTGCATCACATGCTTAGCATCATCATGTGATAGTGAGAGATAGAAGGAAACAGAATCAATTATATACCAACATAATTTCTCAGAGAAAAGATGAGTGCAGACGAAAATTCTTTTATAGAAAGGGAACATATAATATCAGAGGAAGAGCGTATAATGATATCATTACTACTACAACTATTAACACCGTCAGGGGCCAGAAAATATCCTATCAACAATGTGCTTTAGAGGCAGAAGAGCAACGAATTATTTTTTCATAAGCTAAATAAAAGGCAGAAGAAAAGAATAATTCTTTGCTTCACATCTGGTAAGTCAAAAGACGCCATCCTACTTGGATTGAACGAGGAAGAAGAAAGTGATGTCGCAAAATTCAAATTCTAATTGGGAGGGAACTTGAATATTGACATCCCAGGAAATATCCAATGACTTATGCAATGTTTATAACAGTAATTTACAAGGATCAAAAGTCTGTATCCTACCTTATGCAAGAATTTTAACAAGAGAATACAAACCAGGGCCTGATACATGCTAGTCAGGCTTGAAAGACAGAACTAAATTAGATGATCTGTTTTATAAATCAAACTAAATATTTGTTTAACAAAAATAAATTAGTCCATATGATGGTTAAAAGAGGCTCTATAAAACTAAACAACCAATTTCTACGCTTGACTGTTTCTGTGATGGTGGTGGAGGGGATTGGGCACTGTGACTTAGGTTCAGCAGTAAGGCAGAACAAACGTGAGGGATATGGGATAGGCATATGTCACAAGCAGACAAGTTTCAATCACACTTTGAGCCAAGCATGGTATTTGAAAAGAGAGGGTCAAGAAGCAGGCCCTTTATCTGTTTGCGGGGTATTGAAGAAGAAGGCGGAGGTGAGGGTGGAAATGCTGGGATTGTTCCTGCTCTATTCCACCAAAATTGCAGCCTAATCCCAACTTGTGAATTCTATATAGTAATATTGGCCATTTCTATGCCCAGTTTTCCCGCTTGAAGCAATACACTGAGACAAATATGAGAGTCTCCAGTGATACTTGACACTTGCATATGATTAATCAATTACTTCATTTCAACCGCTGCACAAACAGTGGCCGATCAACCGACATCATTACTACATCTTGCCTTCAGCTAGTGCTATAGCAGATCTTTATGCAAAAAGGCATACATTCTTATTGGAACAATATGCCACTGATACGTCTGTGACACAAATTAAGAAGGAATTTGTAGATAGACTTGAGGTAGTTAAACAGTATAGAAAGGCGAATAAGTATAGTTGGTTGTTGCAGAGATTTGTGTAATTAGAGTTCTATATGACGCATAACTCTCTTAATACCTTTCTTAGAGGGTGATTAGGGGATTGAGTGCTCTTTAGGTGTATTTGGTTTTTGTTTGTTAATGGTAATTTACATTGGTTACCAAAAGAAAAAATAAAATATGCCACTGATATTCTGGAAAGGGAAAGATGACACCAGGATCCTAAGTTTGACTGCCAAAGAAAATTAAGTGCCACGCCATATGTTAATGGAACACTAAGATCTATTTCCCTACCATGACATCAGCAAAAGTATTAAAATGCTCATGACCGTACAAGGCTAGAAAGGTTTAACCACAACAAAAATGTGCTTGTCGAAGAATTGCTCTTTTATTCCTAAAGGAATTATGTGTCTTTCGTGGAAGCAATATATCTTTCTTCCTTTCTACTTTTCTTTTTCCAGATGTTCTTTTTCCCATTGATAAGGTCTTTCGGTGATGACACAAATATACAACAAAGATACAAGTAAGAAATTACCTGTTACACATTTCTCCAACTGTAAGCTTGAAGATTCCTTCCCCGCTGGCTTTCAATGTCCGACGTAAATCACCATCGGTGAATGTGCCGAGCAGATGAAACTCATCATCAATAACAAGAAGGCACCCGCATCCTTTGCTTGTCAGCTCTACAAGTTGATCCATAATAAGATCTCCTTCCTTGCAAATTGGAAGATCTTCTTTCTTCTTCATCACATCTCTAACCTGCAAAATTAGATGGCAAGCTCAGGAGTAAGATGAATATTCAACTTCAGCTGCATAAACTTTTACCCCCTCACTTGTTGCAGTAATACAGTTTCCACAAGTTATTATACCCGTTTGGCTCAACCAGATGAACACATACGAAAAATTGATGCAATTCTCACAAAACGGATTAAAGTTAAGGCAGCTAACCAATCAATAGTCATTGTATATCAAAAGATTTCGTGACAATGAGAAAATCAATTAGGCATTCTTTGAACAGTTTCTGGGGGGCTATAATCTTCTATTGAGGGTGAAAGAACCAAACAGACACCAGAATCCACCTCATCCAAAAAAAAAGATACCAGAATCCAACAAGTCCTTAAACTCGCCCTCACATCAATTGCAACAGACAATAACTGCCTATTGCAATTTAATAAAACACAAGCATTAACACTTAAAATAACCTTCTAACAGCCAAGATTTGGACAAATAAATAACCATCCAACACCCAGGATTTGGACTGATTACCATGCATTTGCAAAAATATAAAAAGCTACGACTAAGCAAATCATACACATAAAGGTACATAAAACCAAGAATATTGTATCTCCCAAGTCATTTTTCCAAGGCCCAACAGAAACAACAACAACAAAAAACCCACTATAATCCCACAGGTGGGATCGGGAGAAGATAGTGTGTATGCAAACCTTACCCCTACCTTGTGATGGTAGAGAGGTTGTTTCCGATAGACCTTCAGCTTAGCGAATATTTCCTAGATCTTACTTCAGAACAACAATAAATACAGCAAAAAAAGATTACACTTCACAAGTGAGCATTCAGAAGAAAGGAATGATATTACTCTTCCTCACCTTGAAGATCAAACTTTTCCCGATCCTCCCAGCAGGGTGATTGGCAGCATACTCCTCCCGGCTCAAATTCCTCGCCCCCATCAAAGCAATCGCCACGGTATCTCCAAACACCATCTGAATTGCAGTAGACGTCACAGGTGCCAAATCAAAAGGGCATAATTCTCTCTCTAGAGGCAAATGCACATTCAGATCACACACACCCATCAAAGAATTAGGCTTTACCGATGTAACCGAAATCAAAAAGACCCGTTTCGCCTTTGCACAAGGCACAAGCTTTAACAATTCTTCCGTATTCCCACTCTTGCTAAACATAACCAAAACATCTTGTGGATCCAAAATGCCAATGTCTCCATGAAGGGCATCAACAGGGGATAAAAACCCAGATTTGATACCGAGAGAAACAAGGGTCTGTGAGATTTTCTGGGAAACAAACCCAGATTTCCCAACACCAGTAAAGTAAATGGTACCTTTGGCATTAAGGAGAGTTTGGGTAAAACTAAGAGTTTGGGAAAGATCAAGATTTTGAAAGAAATGATTGAGATAATTCTGCTGGGCTTTGAAGAGTTTAAGAAGTTGATCTGGGTCAATTGAATCTTGCTTTGCCGAGTGATGAAAGAAGTCCTGATATGGTGGTGGAAGAGACCCCATTTTTTTGGGTTTTTTTGGATCTTGATTCCTCTGTTTTCTCCTTCTCCTTCTCTATTGAAAGGTACTACTACTATTACTACCTCTGTAAATGTCTGTGGTAGGGCGAAGAAGACGGGAGAGAATGTGAACGGTTGATATACTTCAATTATTAACGCGGGGATTGAGAGGAAGCTGGTATTTAGCAGAATTCAGTGTAGAATATGCAGATCAAGTTGCTCTCTGTAATAACCAAGGATGGGGTAACGGGTAAGTAATCTTCATCATCTTTAAATAGATCTCGAGTTTAAAGCTCGGATACTGCCACCTTTGTTAGGAAATGTTTTACTGTCAATTTATTTTATTAGCGAAAATATACAATTAAAGGATGGTTGTTTAAGAGGCTGTTTGGATCCAAGTGGTGGGAGCTAAGGGTGGGCGTTTGGTTCTTCGATCCGATTTTATCAAACTTTACTTCGATTTTTAGTTTTTGATTTTTTAAAAATGTGCACTAAATATGAAATGAACTAATTCCGTTATTTTTTTAATTTTAACTCGATTTAATTCGATATTT